CCCAGGGAGGCATCCCGGGCTGTCTGCAGTGCCCAAGGTGTCCCCGAGGTGTTGGTGGACATGGCATGAAGACCTGGCACCATCCAGCCAAGCTTTTTAAACCCACCCAGGTGCCCAGGACCTCTTTGCTCTGAGCAGGAGACCCCCAACCCTCCATGGACACTTAGACTTGGGGACCTTGGAGCATGTGAAGTTGGTGGGAGCCATTGGGGGAGGCAAAACTCTGCCCAGAGAGGCAGGGGTGAAGGCACGAAGGTCCTGTTTCCCACCCCCCCTGAACCCCTTGCCCACCGGCACGTCCTGGAACTGCTTTGCGCCGGCGTCCATCCTCAGCTCCTGCCGGACATATTCGGGCAGTGGGCGCTCCGGGTCACCACCCGTCACTGCCAGAAACTCAGCAGCCACCTTCAAGGTGGCCAAGGCCTCGGAGATGGCATTGACTGAGCGGGCCTCTTCCATGATGCGCTTCTGCTGGCTGATGCTGAGCAGCTCCTGGCAGTAAGAATGACAAGGATGTGACCTGTTGAGGACTGGGATCGCCATGATGTGATGCCCTCCCACCCTGCTCGCCCCCCTGGCGGAGGAGAACTGAGTCCTGTCAGGTGTCCAACCCCTTGCTTGAGTTGGCCTTGGGTCTTCCCTCACGCCTGCCCGGTCTCTGTGCCCCCATCATGTCACAGGACTCGAGGAGAGACCTCGGAGTTGGATGGAGAAGAAGACCAGCGACCCATTTCCTACCTGGGGCAGCTGGTCCCTGACTTTCATCCTGGTGGCCTGGAGGGTCCTCACGTTGTTGAGGGCAACGGATGGAGCCGTCTGGAAAGGGTTTGGGACAGATGGTTACGAACATGCCGGGTGTCACTTAATGGGGATCAGCAGAGAAGCTCAGCTGGGCAGATGTGAGTCCATGGGATGCCACCGAGGGTTGTGCAGGAGGTGGTCAACGACCTCCTGAGGCCACTGTGGGGTTGTGGAGATCAGGGTAGGTCCCTGATGGCTGGAGGAAGGCATCTCCATGTAGGAGGACCTGGGGAGCTCACAGCCTCACCTCCATCCCCAGCAAGGTGATGGAGAAAGTCCTCTTGGGACCTATTTCCACGGACCAAAAGGGTCCAGCGTGGACTGATCTCCACCTTTAGGAGAGTACACACACCCCGGTTGCTGCAGGACAGCCTGGTTCCGGTCTCAAGTCCCCTTTTTCCACCAGCTCCAGGCTTCATTCTCACAGAACGGAGCCCAACAGCCCCAGCCAGAGATGTGCTCCTCCAAGGTGGTTCAGAGTCTCACTTTGGACCATACATAACCCTGGAAGACGCTTCCTGAAGTTCTTTGAACAGCTACCAACTCCTCCCTCATTCTCAAAGAAACCAGGTTGGCTTCCCCTTCACAAAAGACAGGGCTGTAGGTCCTCACACTACCTTTTAGGCCACCATTTCATGACCACAGAAGTGGTTTCTGGCCATGGCACTCCTTCGAAACCTGAGGAACAGACACAGATGCACAGCAGGCATCTGCCAATGCCTCCAAGTTGAGTCTGCCGACCCCAGAAAGGCAAGTAGAAGATGCTGGCAAGAGTCCTCAACCCCACTGCTGGCTCAGGACAACTCAACTTGGCCGCTGCTGAGCTCACCTGAGCTTTGATGATGGGCTTTCCGCTGATGAAGCGATGAACAACTTGCCGCTGCAGCATCTGGAAGTCGAAGTATGTCGTCTTGGTGCCATCTTCAGCTATCTCGTACTGCAAGTTGGCGAGTGCCATGGTCACCAGATCACTCTCGGTTATCGCCAGCACGGAGGAGGGCTTCACCTCTTCTGCGGAGATGGATCTGGAAGAGAAAAGGTTGCTCTGTGCGGTTACAGGACTTCTCGCCTCATCCTAATCTGCCATCAAGGACCCGCTTTGCCGAACACCATGCCACCAGGACGTTGCAACGGCATCGTTTGGCTGCCACAGCTTCCCTGCAAGCCCCACACCAGCCCTGAAAACCTCTCACGGAGCCTTTACAGAGGGTGGAGGAGATGGACAAGCCCTAGAGCGAGTGGTTTGAGACCTACCGCTGCCTCTCCCTGGTGATACGCGCAGCCGTGTCAACGCAGCTGTTTTGCAGCTTTATGAGGAACGTGGTCACCAAGTGGCTGATGGATGGTTGGGTGGGGAGGAGGTAAAGGATGGCAGTGTTGGTGTTAATGTCGTTCGGTGAGAGGTCCGGCAGGATGGTGATGCCTGTAAAAGGGCGGAACAGTCTTTGACCTGCTGTACGGATCCCAGGGGAAATTCACTCTTTCATTGAGGTCTTGGAAGGGGTTTTTTTATTAGGTTTTGTATTTCCAGAAGGGTTTTTAGTAGATGGAAAGCGAGCAAGCTCAGAAATTTTGCTAGGAAGGGTAGTTGCAGAAAGCAGCTCAGCTTTGGAGCACCTCTAGAAGAAATGGCCACGGAAAGAGGGACGTGACATCCTGGGGATGACCCCATACCCGAGCTGGATGGATTCATCTTAATATTGCTCCAAACTTTGCAGATCGTCACTATAGCTCTGCCAAAGGCCAAACGTTGGTCCCCTGTGGACACAGAGAGAAAAGAAAACAGCCCTGTCAAGGCATCCTCCCAGGAGACAGGTCAGGTCAAAGGATGTCTCCCAACAATTACATCAGCGGAGGTGTCACCACGCTGCACGTTGGCTTGAGCTGGGCTTTGAGCCTGCGTGAGACCATGCATGACCTCAATCAACCAGGCACCACGATCTAGGAGCTGAAAAGCCCGTCTCACCTATCTTGCTTGCTCACGGCAGAAGAACCTCGCCAAGCACCAAATGCCCCAGGAGAAAGGATCTGCCCTGGATCCATCTCAATGCCTGAGAACTCCACCCTCTCCTAAATTCCCCCCCAAAACTGCTCCTGCAGAGGCACCCCTAGCCTCGATGGGCTGCTCTTGTGTTGGTTGGGTTGGCTCCACCATGCAAACTACGGCAGCAGCTTCTCAGCGGAGCATCTGGGTGCTGAGGGGTCTTTAACGCCCGCATCCCCAGGCATGATGGAATTCCGTATCGCACCTGAAAGTTCGGGCTGGTCCAGGAATTGCTGGACTGTGTAGTGTTCCCCTTTATGGCTGTTCTGGAAGAAGTGGATCAGGGCATTCTGCAGACGGAAAATGTCGGGCAGGTGTCGGATATGTTGGATGTTCTCAAGCTGGAAGAGAAAATTCAGCGTGATTCAAGGGACAGGGATCCCATCTGGCACCGTGGGGTAAACTGGAGGTGGATCTTGTATTTCTTGGATGCTCCAAAGAAACACGGGGGTGAAGAAAATCACCCCAGTGCCCCACAGAAACCAACCAGGCTGAATCTACTGCGTGTGCTTTGGTGGAGAGAGGATGTTCCCACAACCAACCTTCGACAGGAGCTCCAGGAGAATGGGGTACGGATTGTCAGCACCTCCTCCATCTTCCTGCTGCAGGAGATGCATCAGGGTCTGGATGGTCATCTTCTGTTCATATCTCCACATGCAGGGCTGGTTGATCAACCCCTGCCTCGGCAGGTCTTCGAAAGGTGGTGTCTGGCCGTAAGCTATTTTCAGGAGGAGGCTGGAGCTGTTCATCCTCTGCTCCTTGACAGAATTAAGGCTCTGCTCCAATTCCTGCAAGAACCCAAAGGTCGTTAGGAGCCACCCCTCCTTACTCAAGTAGCCTGAGGGGGTTCACGGGGTCTTAAGGCAAAGAAAAGCAACGAGGGCTCTGGAGAAGTCAGGGGCATGATGAGAACTTGTCACCAAAGGGACCAGAACAGAACTGCCCAGGGAGAAACCCACAGGTGATTTTCTCCAAGGGAAGAAACCCAAATGGTTTCCAAGGAGGATGTGAATCGGCATATAAAAAGCATCCAAGAAGCCAGCTCTCTGTAGGAGCAGAGCAGGAGGCCACACGAGGATGAGGTCCCGTTCAAAAAAAGCAGGGATAAATCTCTTTTCTTCCACGTGGGAAGACCCCGAGTTCAGCAGATGTGTCTGGACGTGGCCACGACCACCAGCAAAGCAGTGCTTTGGGTACGCGATACCTGTGAGCAGCGGCTGGGCACAGGCATACCTGGAAAAAGGGCTGAGCCAGGGCTTTGAAGGAGGTTTCCCATTTTTCTCGGTCTTCTTTCTCACGCAGGATGCTCAAGGCTACACCCTCATCTGTGGAAGACACAAAGGAATACGTGAGTTTTTACCCTGTAGGCCCTGCGGTCTGCCCAGAGCTTTGTTGGGTTTCTTGACAGCGAGGAGTAAGATGATGTAGAAATAAGAGGAACCGAGGGCAGAAGGGATGACACAGATGTCTACTTGGAGCAAACTATCTCCCAGTCTGCTCAGGCCCTCAAGCTGGTCTGGCTCGAGCGCTTTGAACGAGCTCACTGCCCTCATGGTCCTTCCTGTCTTCTCACCGGTTTGCCAGGATGGAGATTGTCCCAGGAAGGAGGAACCAATGACACCGGTCCCGGTTAAAACCCAACCACCGTGAGCCTGCTGGTGACCTCCCAGAGCTTCCCAGCATCTCTCTACCTGTTCGGTTGTCATTGCTCAGGTGCTGTAGGAACAGATGGACAGTCAACACAGCGTCCTCCATGTTCCTGCAGCTTCTGCCAGGCACACCACGTCTTTCTGAAGGTGGCCCCAGAAGAACTCTTCCACATCCTTCGGTTCCTCTTTCATCAGGTTTAGAATTGCCTGGAAGATGGGACAGGTTCCTCCGTTAGGCTCTCAAGAAGGTCTCATCCCAAGCTAGGCTGAACCCTCCTCACAGCATGACGGTTGCTCACCTCTTTGTCAGCCCAGATCCCCAGCAAGAGGGATGAATGGAGCAGAGTTCTTGCAAGACCGACGCAGGCAGGCGACAGGCACCTCTCCAGCTCATTTCTCCTCAAGACAGGGCTCCCCAAGATGTACCCTTTCTCCGTTTTATCCTTGGTGCTGTGTTCAGAAAGAGCAATTACCCACCACTTCTTTTGCTAGGTCCCACAATGGAGTCACAGGACACAGAGACCTTTGCTTTGGCCAACCACGGCATTTTTCCCCATGCCCGTGGTTCTGCGGGAGGGTTAGATGGACAGGTGAAGCCCTCTGGGGCTGCGGAGCCAGGAGGGCTGACTTACATCTCCTTATGCATGAAGCCCGTCTCTGCTTTGTGGTCAGTTCCCCCGACGGCGGCACCACACACGCATGTCTTCACTTCCATGGGAAGCCCACACTGGATTTGGACACATGAGGGTGGAATGAGAGAGAAGGTTGGAAGCCCAGCCGGGTGCTGAAGGCATCTAGCAAAAGCTGAGGGCACCCAGGGAGTTTCCATGTCCTCCACCTGGCTTTCTGCAGGGGGTCATTGCAACAGCTAACGAGAGGCAGGAGGAGATGCGTGTCTACGAGCAAACATCTCCAGACCAACCAGGTTCTTCCTACAGCCAGCAGGATATGTTTAGGTGTCAATCTGGGGATGAGACTAACAAAGACCTGGAAGGACCCGCTTCGCTCCACCGCTCCCATGAGGAGACACGAATTCCAGAGCCTCGCTGGAAGATGAACCCAACTGACTTGGAGATGAGCCCAACTGACTTCTGAGCCTTGCAGCGGCTCTGGCTGCTAAAGGATCACTTGACACAGAGGTGACATCAGAGTCCACGTTAGGAGGGGAGCAGGGAAGCAGGAGGAGCGTCTATAGCAACCACCCAGTAGAAACAGCAGGGCCAAGGGGCCAAGGTGTGCTTCAAGATGGTGCAGAGGGCCTGGGCACCTCTGGGAGCCAGAAGAAGACCTGAGAAGCTCATCCCAAACCTGGCTTTTTCCCATGGAGGTGACAGAGATGCAATGAGAAGTGCAAGAAGACTGAGCTGCAAAGACCACCAGCCAGAAGGAGACACTTACGTTGGTGACAGTCCAGAACATGCCACACTGGGAACAAGCTATGTGGGAAAAAGGATATGGTTAGTCAGTCATCTCCCACAACAACCTCCATGATGGCAACGTGGCCAGAAGCTCACCAAGAGGGTGACAGGCCTGGCTCCCACCTCCTGGCACCCAGCCCCACCACGTGCCTCCCACAGAGCTTGTCAAAAAGGGACCCAAAGTTGCTCCACCCAGGTGGAGATCATGAAGGACTCAACAGAAGGACAGAGTTGGTCTTCAAGAGTCTTTAATCCCTTCCTTCCATCCCCCAGCTGATCTGAATCAGCTGCTGGTGGGTCCCCTACATGCACAGGAGCAAGGAGATTCTCCCAATACTTACTCCAAATCTTCTCCGTTTTACCCATTTTCCAGTTCTTCTCATCAAAAAGCAGGTCTCCAGGCATGGTGGGAAGGTAGGACCCCTTGGAAAGGAAACATGGTAGAAAGTGAGACACAGGGTAACCATCTTCTGGGCTCTCTTCCCACCCATCTGAGGAACAATTCTTCTAAAGCAAACAGTGGGGAGGAAGGGTCCTCCTGCACGGCCTCCGTCAACAGGGACGAACTTCTGGTGAGGGAATGGGGACCAAGTGAGGGAGCGAGGTACATCAGAGAGGGAGACGTGAGGCTGGAGTGACCAGACTTGAGCCAAGTCCCCAAGAATCCCAGTTATTTATGAGTTTTGATTCTGGAACTGAATATATCATGGGCCAAACATGGCCTTGATGGGAAGGGAGAGGATCCAGAGGTGGCCGTTGCCTTCATTTCCAAGAAAAGCAGTACGACATCCTGGCTGCTTCCTGCAGCCCTCAAATAACAGGAACAACTCACGTATGGACAGACCCGAGGGAAAGCCCAGCTCAGGCATGAGCATCTCCACCATCATCTGAGTGATGGAAGACCTTTAGCAGAAGGAGGATGCTCAGGTTGGGCTTCAAACCATCCAATCTCTGCCAACGAAGCTCTGCAAGGCCCACAGCTCCCCTTGAGTCGGCAGAGAGACGGGCATCTCCAGTAGACCATACATCTCATCCACATTTGAAGTGGACCAAGATGGATGGTCAGTTACCTCTCAGCCCAAGGAACGAGAAGGAAGAGGAACGACGATCTAGAAAGCAACAAGCTGACCAAAACAAAGCCTGTCTGCCAGGACATGTTGCGCCAGGAGAGTGGAGTGGAGAGACCTGTGCACCTCAGCCTTGCAACGCACCTTCACCAAGCCAGGGTTGAAGCAGATGTTCTTGAGAAGGTGAGTGATGTGGCTTGGGAACAAGGCCAGAGTAAGCCCAGTGTGAAAGACCACCTCCAGCAAGCCTGGGTCTTCACCTTTACCCAAAGCATCCATGATCTTCTTCAGTTTGTCTTCCAGCAGCTCATCTGGGGTGGATGGCAACCGGAGGATGTTCCACATTTGTTTCATGATAGACTGCAAAAGTTGAACAAAATAGACGTAAGTGAAGGCAACCAGCAAGGCACCTCCCCGTGAGGGGTCTTCTGGCTTCACCGCTGAGGTTCAGCATCCATGCAAAGTCCCATTTGTGTCCCCTAGCAGCAGGAAGCTGCCACAGTTCTCGATCAATACAGATGGAAACCTCTGGTTTCCAGGAGGTTCCAGATCAACCAACCATTCCAGATCAACCAATGGTTCCAGACTAATCAACAGTTCCAGATCAACCAACGGTCCCAGACCAAGCAACAGTTCCCGATCAATCAATGGTTCCAAATCAACCAATGGTTCCAGACCAAAAACAGTGGAAACCTTCTGTCAGAGACACGACGGATACTCACAATCAAGCTCTGGTTTTCTGCGGAATCTTTGTTTTTTAGCTGTTCTTGTGCTTTGTCCAGCACCGAAAACATGAGCGTTGTATTCGACCAGGCGCTTCTATCCTAAAAACACAGATGCGTATTGTCATCCTAAAAAGCAAGTGGAAGGGCACGAAGAGGAGGTTGACTGCACCCTGTGAGGGCTGGTCGGTCTCCTCAAGGGGAAGGGAGCCTCGTGAATCAGTTTTATAGGGCTCGAGCTCGGCAAATCCCACCCCCCTCAGCTCTGCTTCAGCACAAAGCTCTCAAGAAACAACCCACCTGCGAAATTTCTACACCTCGGGGTAAAATCCACTTCTCCACTTGGAGGAACTTCCACATAGAGGTGAGCCCATAGATGTCACAGAGATTTCTGATGAGGAACACCTGAGGCCACGGAGTCGGAGCCTTTGCAACCAGCATCTTCATTGCGTTCACCAGGTCTTGCTCTTTCTCATCCCCCGTGGCAGCAGGTGGCTGGCGATCGGCACCTGGAAAGGAGGTTTCTCGTTATGCGCAGTCCCCACTGGTGGCACGTTACAGGAATGAGGTCGCGAGAGGATTAACGAGGTGGTGGAGTTAATGGGTTGCTGATAGGGGTGACAGGCTATCAGGCGGAGACCAGATATGGTGTAGGTCTTGCCCAAGACCCACAGCATGGCCAAAGGTAATCAACACTCTCGTTATCCCTTGCTCCCCTCTCCTCCCCAAAGCAGGGACACCTCTTTGGTAAGGTTTGCGCCTCCGACTACATCGGATGAGACCTGGGTAGAATTAAGATATTTAGCACGAACGGAGACAGTGTATTTATCACCGGCAATCTCTAAGAACCTGTATCTGTTGCTTCAATGAACTACACTATTTGTGCATCTGGCCGTGGTCGTTTGTGGAACGCGACTAGACTTCGAGTGTATCGCACTAGTTGTGCATCCGTAGCCGTGCTAGTTCAATTTAACGCCGAATCGGCTATTGAATGTGACCGGGTATTGGGTATCATCCAGAATCTAAGCCCAGCTGCCCCCAGCCTCTCTAATATCTGAGGGGAACGCAAGGGGGTTTATTTTCTGTCAAATTTCCATACTCTTAATGCAACACAGGTCACACGTGTCCTTCACCAACGCAGCCCCTAGAGCTGTTTAGGTTGCAGTAGGATCTAGGTTGTGGGAGGATCTTCTCCCTGTAGGTTGAAATATGGCTTCAAGCCAACGTACAGAGGATCTCTTAATACGTAGGGAAATACTTGGAGAACACAGTGAGTCTGGGGACTGAAGTGCTGGAAAGTTTGTCCAAAACAACTTCAATTTTCATAAAACCAGTGATTTTCTAGCAAAAACCTTCAAGGTTAGACTTTTGGGGGGGGGACTTGTTCTAGACCTGCTTAGGGGTAGGCGCAGTTCTCATGCTACGCTAAGCAAAAGAACTCACCGGAAAGCATCCGTCTGCCGAGCACGGTGGCCACGTGGCTGATGGAGAGCCGGAGCTGGGCGATAAACTGGAGGGTGTCAATTCTTGAGACCTCGGGCTCGCAGAAAGCAGACAGGTCTGCGGTGGAGAGGCAGTTTTCAGCAAGCTGGCTGATGTCTTCTTCAGGAGGATACATAAAATCCTGCGAGCGAAAACGAGACAATTTTTAAGAGCCTGAAGGTGGATTATAACTGAGCAGCTCCTTCTCCTTCTTTGCGCCTTCTCCTCATCTTTAAGGTGAGCTCTTCCTTTGGTTCCATAAAAAGAGGGAGGGGGAGTAATTAATGTGATTAACAGGTTTTAGCTGGGGTGGTGGCTTCAAGTTATGGTGTTCGTTGGGATTCCCGGTGCATCCCAATGGGCACTCACCTCCAGACAGTGCACCACCATGAAGTAGAAATGGTCCATGTTACTTTGGTTGGATATTATCTTTTCCTCCATCTGGGACAGGTATTCTTCCAAGTGAACTTTGACGTTGTTGAACCTAGGGTAGAAAAGGAGACGGAGCATCAGCATCCACGTAGCCAAGGGGTTCGGCAATGGGGTTTGGGAACAACCTCGGGGCTGACCCGCATCGCAGCAGCAGCTTCAGGAGGGAGGACTGGATGGTAGGACTGGTGTCCATGCACTCTTCAAAGGGCGACAACTCACTTTTCGGCTTGTACACTAGGAAGGAAGGATGACATCTGTTATTTGACTTCCAAGAGCGCGAGGTCAGCTGCGGGTAGAGTGCAATCAAGCTCTTTTACCCCTTTTCCCTGCCTGATGCTCAGGGTTGGGCTTGCAAGCCACAAACTTTATCAATCGCTGAATGATTTCGGCAGATGGTGCCTCCCTGTCTCCCAAAAAGTACATGGTGATGAACTCAACGAAGAAGGAATTGCATTTCCTCCTGAATTTGTTGTGACAGGCAACAGCTTCCCTAGAGAGAAGAAGAAAACAGAGACTCATGGTCAACCTCCAATCAAGGAAAGAAACAACGTCACTCTCTCTGCAGCAAATGGGACCCAAACCAGGGCAATGAGATGGCCATTTCTTCAGGCACCAGCATCTTCTAGCCCAATATTTAAGATGAAAACACTTGAGACAGGCAGGTTTTTGCCAGCACCGGGATACCTCGTGGCCTCCGAAGCCGTGGGTGTGTAATCCTCCGGGAATTCCTCCTTGCAGATCTTACACTGCTTGTTCGACCACTCCAGGATGCAGCGAGTGCAGAAGATGTGGCTGCAGGGCAGCTCCGCTGGGTCGGTGATCTCCCGCAGGCAGCTCTTGCATTCCTTCACACCCTTCCTGAGGGAAACCACCAAAAGAAGAGGCAGCTCAGCGCCGCTGCCGGATTTGAGGAGGAGCACGAGTTGGCTCCTGCCTAACGTACACCCTGGGGCGGGGATGAAACTGGATGGGCACTTTTGCCCAGTCCCACCGGTGAGTAAAGAACCAGGGCGACCCACCACCACTTTAAGAACCAGCAGCTTCTAAGCTGCCTGAGGGCCATCCCGTCTCGGAGAGGCAACACTCCGTGATGAGGATGGCTGGGTGAAGGGGATGGAGAGCCGGGGTGCTCAGGGGAGCTGGTTTCTTTGGCACCACACCAAAGAGAAGTTCCTCCAGAGATGATTCATCACCTCCAAGACAGGGTCTCACCCCTTGGCTTCATCCGTGTGGCTTCCCTTTGGCCCAAAGAGGTTCACCCCTAGTCCTGACGTATTTCTCCACCCTTTACAAACATCGCATAGATGGAGAAGGACCCCAAAGTCAACTTTTTTTCAGCTGAGACTTACACCAGATACACCACATCGGCGTTCTCGTTGCATTTCTTCAGCACTTTCGTCACCAAATCAAAAGTCTTCTCCAGCTCAAATCCTGGGGCTGCATAGAGGCGCTGTAAAAGACAAACACACAGCACGAGTTCAGCAGAAATATCTCTCTGGTACATGGAGGACAAACATTACGGGATGTCAGTGCTGCAGGGACCCAGGGTTAGGCAGAGAATTAAGCAGATCCACGTATGGATGTCTCTGTGCAGACCTCTGAGGGTAAGCGACCTAGATCAACCCTTAAAATTCTCAAGAAAGCCTTCCTTGATTCCGAATTCTCATTTTGGATTCTGAATCCAAATAGTCTTTGTCTCTTGGATGGTGTTTCCAGTCTTTTCCCATTCCTAAGCCCTCCCTACAGCTGGGATCAGAGGTCTCCTGGAAGAGAAAAGCTCTCCCAAGCTTCACAGCCATGAGCCACCCCAGGAAACACCTACGTTCCAGAGGAAGATGAACTGCTTCACCACAAGCCTCAGGAGTTTCTCCTCTATTTGTGTCTCATTGTGCAGCAGGTGGTCAATCAACATGTAGACAATGTTGGTGCAGGTCCAGCGATGTCTGTAAAACACAGACCGAGTAGGTTGGACCACAGACCTCCTGAGCTCCCTTCTGTCACATTTCTGTGACTTATCCCAGGTAGCGAGTGGTCACTTGAGGATACAAGACCTTCTGAGATGATAGCATTAGAGGGAGAAAGACATGGCATGGTCCTGTCTACGCTGCTTGTTTCAACAAACCTCGGGCCAAGGAGAAACTGCCAGCCCATTTCTGGGTGTCGTCTCTGGAGAGACCTCCTCATCCCACTCCAGAAAGCGTTTTGGCACCATCAAGCACGCAAGGAGAAATTCCACCAGAACTAAGCAATTTGATCACGGTGAAACATCCACCACTGTTGTTTGGGTTTTTTTGGAGCCACTTTTTTGTGTCACGTGTTTGCGATAATGAGGAAGGAGCAGGAAGGAGTGGACAGTTGGAGGACTTGTGACTCCAGCTCCCCAAGAGGAGGGTGGCTTCAGTTCACCTGACCTTCAGACATCAAGAAGTTTGCTTGCGCTATTGTGAACAGAGAGTGACTAAACTTACAACACACTCTCCAGGAGTTTCTTCTTCTTCGGGTAGAACTGAAGCTGGTAGTTGTCCAGACTGATCCACTCCACCCAGGGCTTAATGGACTTGACGCTTTTCAGCCACGCTATGCAGGCATCAAAGGGCAAAAGTCCATTTTCGCAGGGCTGCACTTTCTTCAGGAGAATGTTCAAGGCATCAAGAGTGACAAACTGAAATGACATTTGCAAAGAGAGAGAAAGAGTCGAGGTAAAGAGCTGACCTCGCTGGTGGGTGGCCCAGAGGGCAGGGATACTGCATGACTAGATGCTGGTATAGCTTTTGGAGTAGTTGACAGGGCTAAGTTAGAAAGAAATGGACTTTAACGGGTGAAGTTCTGGCACCTGTAAACCAGGAAGGGCTTTAATGAGCCTAACCACACCCTGTAGAAAGAAGGATCTTGGAGTCGCCGCGGGGAGTTTTCTAAAGACCTTAGCTTGGTGCTCGAAGCTATAAGCATCTTAGGAGGGATTCGGACATCTCCACATGGACGCGGCAAGCCAAGGAGCTGAAGCCCAACACTGAAGCGCGACACAACGAATCCCACCCACCTCTAGAGTCAAAGTGTCTAAGAGAACCTCAACGTGATACCCAGAGTCATACAAACACAAGGATGTCTTAGTAATTACATCGTACGTAATTAAATGATGGAAGTTGTGAAGACCATCGTGTTCAAATGCCATAGGAGAAGAGTTAGAGGGCAAACAGAGATCTTTGCTCACCATTTCTGGGGGGTTCTTCTCATACACTGCCTGCAGCTCGCTTATGACAGTGTCATTGCTTTTTGCTATGTCAACGAAGAGCTGATAATCGTCTTGGAGGTAGAAATATTCCATGTGAAGCCAAATTGGGGAAAAGCTCATCTCCCCTCTGCCCACAGAGGAGCAGAGTTGTTTTGCGCTGGCTAGGAAAACTTTTGAGAGAATCTGCAGGTAAAATAAAAGGCGTTATTTCTGCTCAAAGCAAACGGCAAGGGGAGTAAGGTGGGATGCTCAGTATTGCTGCTGTATCCCACGTGAAGTTTCCTCATTAAAAATAGTTCTCAAGGTGGAATTAAGACCGAATGGTCACAACAGTTGAGGAGCAGCCACAGAGCAGCACAAGGGAGGGTTTAACAAAACACCAGATTTGGCCAGGAAGGATAAGAGCGAGGGCCAAAGCCAACGGCAGGTGAAGGCGGTGCTCTACCCAACCCTACTCACCTCATAGACGGAGAAATCTTGTCCAGGAAAAGCCATCCTGAGGAAGTCGTTGGCGTAACAGCGTAGCATGTCCAGATTGCTGCCATCTGGCATCAAGATGTTCTTGACGAAGGTTGGGTAGAATCTGGCCACTTCCTCCGTCGGCTTCTTGGGCTGATCTAGAAGGGGACAGCAAAGAGAGTTATGGCCACTTAGCAGAAAATGGGAACTCCTCGTTAAGACTGAGGTGGACGCGTGGCTGAGCGCAAGGCCACAGGTGAAGAGGCACAATGCCTCTCTTGGAAGAGGAGATACAATGCGGAAGAGATGCACAACACAGTTCTGGGTCATCTCAGTCAGGAATAGAGCCCCCATGGTTCCTCCTACTAAGGATGAGGATTTTTGGCAGCTTTGCTGGGTTAAAGCTCCCCTTGGAAAGTCTGATGTTACCTTTCATGTGATAGACCTTCTCCCATATGCCATCCAGGTAGGCTTTCAAAACCCAACTGAATGGGAACTGGCAGAAGAGGGAGATGTTGGGGTCTTCGGTCATTGATAACACGGAAATCTTAGCATCCGCCGCCCTTGAATTCAAACAGCACAGAAAGAAGCATTAAATTGTGCAACCGACTGTAGCTGTCCAGAGATGGATCACCTCAGAGGAGTTCCTGACTCCCACTGACCTGTGTTCTCTTTAAAGGAGTTCAGAAACCTGGGGAGAAATTTGGTAGGAAAATCAGGGAAAACTGGGCAAGAGTAGGGAAGGAGCCAATTTTGCCGACATTTTAAAACAACAGGGAACTTTTGGTGCCAGCGACTTGCCAGCCAAGACCTTCCATGGCTAGGTTATAAACATCTGCACCTCAAGTATGAGCTACCGTTTCACTACAAACACCAGCTTTTACTCTCCTAAGGAAAACCACCTCATTGTACATTTACTCCCATCTCTTACTTCCTGGTGTATTTAATTTTTAGGAATGTTTCTTCTTGGAACATCTGGAGCCACACTTCTGCGAGTGGAGAGCCTTGAGAGATGTGATCCAGGTTGTTGTTGGCATCCACCACAGCGAGAATTTGGGCAAAGATGTTGGCCACAATATCTTCCAGGTGCATCCAGAGCGCTTGCCTGAAAAAGGAGATGACACGGCTCATCACATCGCTTCCCTGCCTCCCATCGAGAAACCCTCCTCTACCCAGGGGACAGCCTTGGTCTTGAAGACCAACAAGTCAACCAAAACAACCCAACCGCTTCTGAAGATGCCAAATGTGGACATCCAGGCTTGACATTAACCATCCTTGTCCATCTCACAGTTTGCTTCCAGAAAAGTCCTTCCAAAAGAAGCTTCCTCAAAATCAACAGTGCTCTTAATTAATTTGCTATTTTTGAGACTGTGACCTTTCAGCAAGCCCCTGCCTTGTTCTAGGCTGATAAGAAAACCCACGTATTTAGATGCTTCTCGGTTGTCACGTCTTGGTCTTTAAGCAAGGTGCCTCACACTTCACGCAGAACAGTTTTAGGAACAGAATTACTTGACATTAGGAAGGTGGCCCACGGCCAGCACTACCTGAACGATCTGTCTTCCAGGATGAATTCGGTAGCGAGCGCCCTGCGGAAAATCCATCCCCTTGGTTCTTGGATCGGTTTCTCTCGTTCTTGTAGGAGGCAACAAATTCTCTTCTTCAGGATGGTCATAAAGTGGCTGGAAACTAATCACAAAACAGCGATGGTTAAAACCCTCCTGGCGCTCATCTCCAAGTAGGAGACTCCATCAAAAAACCTGCAAGGGATTTTGGTTGCCACAGTTTTCCACTCAAAAAAAATCACGCCAACTCATATGTTTTTTTCTCAGTCCTATGCAAAAATCAACTTCCACTGGCAAGGGACGTCTGTCTGGGATCATCCACCAAGGTCTGCAGCAAAGCTTTGCGATTTAGCACAGATTCTGATCGCGCACGTCAGGGACTGTGCCAGGAGGTGAAGGAGGCTCCATGCAACCTCACCCTCTGTCTCTTGGGTGTTTCTCCACCCACGATGGCTTTGAGGGACACCAGAACCAGCTCTTAACCTGTTTGTTGACTTCTTCCAGCCACACAACGTGGAAGAAGGAGCTACTAGTTCTCTCTACTCACACATACCGCTACTCTGAGAGTGGAAAAGCAAGTTGTGAAGGATCTTGATTCTCTCCGTTGGACGTTGGCTGTTGTCCTTCTTGTCCTCCAGCTGGACCACGGCCTTCTGGATGCTCCCTTTGATCATTGCATCTACGTTTAGGAATTGTGGCTGGAAAAGACTGGAGGTCAGCTGGTTGTTCAACACTACTTCGTTCTCATTTGCCCGGGGACGCTTGTTCTGGAACATCATCTTCTCCAGAACTTAGTACAGTGGGCTCCAAGATCTGTACCCATCTCACCATCCCAACAAACCCTGGTTAAGCCACTCCCCGTGGCATGGAGGGCTGCTGATGTCCCCGGTAAAGGACACTGCTTTGCTGACAACGACAAAAGGCTCCTGGCGTTGTGCAGGTCGCTCACAGAGGGGCTGGGAGACCACCACCCTACTCACAACGTGACCCCAGGAAGATCTGCAACTATTTCATGTGACAAGATACCAGCCCACGCAAGGACCTTCAAAAGCAGATCCCAAAATGTCTGTTGATCCCCAAGCCAGTTCTTGCACAATGACAAGCCACTAAAATGAGGAGAAAAAAAAGAAAAACGAAAAAAAATCATACGTTTTCCTCTGGGTAAAGACCTGACTCCGTGAGGCTTCCCAGGGCAGCAGAATCCTCTGGAGAACCTGAAATCACAATCAACCACACGACTCAGCTGTTACAACCCCAACAAGAGACACTTCCATCCAGAGAAGGCGTCAGGAGTGCCTTGACAATCAACAGGGAGAAATAAAGCAGAACTGGGGTGGAAGCCACCCAGCTGCTTGGTATCGGCTTCTTGATGACATCAGACCCTCAGGTTTGGGAAGCAATTGGCTGGACACCTCTAAGCAAGAACACGGATTCAAGGAGCTACCCAGAGTTGGCTTGTGATGACGGATCAAACCGTTTCCACCCTGTTTGCCCAACCATCTAGTCAAAGAACGGGGGTCAACAAGCGCGTGTTGACTCCATACGGAAGTCTCCAGCTGCACAGATAGTTTGTCATGGTTAAATGCTGCTCCGCCATGACAGCTGGCCCGTCAGGAGGCAAAGGCTGCATTGCTATGAAGATCTTAGAAGCCGCAAGTGCTCCTGGGACCCACAGCTTGGGACCTGCTTGATCCAGGTGTGTTTTTAACCACAGGTGGGACATCGGAGGATGAGGCAGTGGGCTTCTGGAAGGGATAGCAGTGGGGAGACGGTGGGTTTATGGTGAGAGACTTTTTACCTGTTGGGAGATGCTGCAGGGAGCTGCTGGCGAAAATCTCGGCAATGCTCATTTTGGAGAGCTGGCTGAGATTGGCTTTAAAGTTCTCTGGGGGCATCAAGTCATCCAAGTGGGTGGACTTCCACTGGCCTGGAGAGGCAAGAGGATGGATCAGTCCACCTGCTCTCTTTTGGTGCATCAACCATTTGGAAAACCAGCGAGCTTGGCTGCTTGGATTTACCAGCCAACCAGGGCAGGAAGACGGCGAGAGATGGAAGATCCACCACTTCACGTGTCTTCTCTGCACGTCTTCATCTTCCCCTCCCACTCTTTTCCCAACCCAAAGTAGCGAGTGTAACCTTACCGCTGTCAAAAGCCAGGTAGCTGCACCCTCCCAGGACCCGTGGGACTTTCGTGATCAGCACAACGTGCAACAGATGGGGGCTGGCCGACCTCCTGCGCTCGTCTGTGATGCAGTACCTGGAAGCACCACCAGAAGGTCAGAGCTGGTTAATTCCCGCCTCGTTTGATCGATTGTCTCCAAGCACCGATTGCGTCTCCTCCCTCTATGAGCCCTTCCAAGGGTTTCATCTCCCTCCCCACCAAAGGCTGCAGTTGGTTCAAGTCTTAGGGGGCAAAAAGAGGCCAAAAGGCAGCACAGGTTTCTGAGAAGCACATTGTGCCTGGAAGGAGGAGGAGGAGAGGAGAATGGAGGAGAGGAGAATGGAGGAGGAGGAAGAAGAAAGGACAGAGGAAGGCTGCTTACTTGGCACAGGCCAGGAGTCTTTTGCTGCTCTGCGGCTCATCAAAATGAAACTGAACGAGGAGCAGTCTCACTTCTCGCGGCTCTCTGAAGAAATTCCTACAACGAAACGGCCTCTTTACTGCTTTCTCTGAGACGGATCTCACCCCGCCCCGCCCCGAAGCAGTGTGGGAAGTGGAAACCACCTGCACGATTAAAGAAAAGAAATAGCAGAGCCCACCTGAGGTCCTGGCGGAAAGCGTGTTCGGTGTCAAACTGGCTTAGGAAGAGGCAGTGGATTGGGAGATTGAGCGCCGTCCTCAGCACTTCCAAATCCTTCAGGTTTAGCAGCCTGGCATGGGTAGAAACCTGCGGTAAAAAGGGAAATCAAAACTGGTTCTCCTGCTGCCTCAAGCGGGTGGGATCCTCCAGGACATCTCCATTGGTGCTTGGTGCTCATCTACAGGCAACTGGAAGGTGCCTTGAGTATCTCAGCCTAAACCAGAGCTGAGCAGATCCTGTCTTCCTCCTGAGGAAGGGCAGAGTCTACCCTGGCTGCAGATGACCACGGAGGCAAAGAGGATGGACATAAGCCCATCACTGGCCTGGCCTAACCAAGATCATGGAGCCACCACGCTCACTTGGAAAACAAACAGCACCCTTGGGTGCTTTACAATCAAACAGGAATACCTGCAGGCACAGCCCGGTGGTGCTCCCTTTCTTCTTCTGCTGGTTCATCAACTCACACAAGAGGCTGGCCAAGCTGTTGTGCTTCTGCTTGATGAAATACAGGTCCTGGATCTGCTCAGCGTCCTTCAGAGCAGAGTATTTAAGGCGCAGGATGGAGTCAGGAGTGGCACACTCCACCAGTTTGCCTATGGCAGTGGAGAGGACCTGCTCTCCGTAGCATTCGTAGCCTCCACAGTGGAGGTGCTGGGAGCTCTCCAGCACGATGGCGGCAGCCATGTCATCACTGAAGCCGATGAAGACGTCGTGTTCCTTGGGAGCGAGCGCGTGGGACCAGACCCCGAATAAATCAGGGTTCTCAATGCAGACAAACTGACTGGCCCATCTCTCCAGGTCCTGCTTCAGGTCTTGCCCTTCCCCATGGAGGATGGTGTTCATGTCCAAGCAATGCTTCTCCAGACGGCTCAGCAGAGGGGTGGGGAACTGCTTGTAGACCACTTCCTTCTCCTCTATCACAATCAGCCGGAATTCCTCCTTCACGCGGCTCTTCACCCTATGAGTGCCGAGGCCCAGGTCCACGTAGTAATTGCCTCCCAGGGTGACGAAGCATTGATTGAGGGCATCGTAAAGGCTCTCGTAAAGGTTCTGTATGTTGAGGAGGACAACGGGCCTGCCTATCTCCATGCAAATTTTCACCCTGTTCACAGAGCGGCACACCTGGGAATAATCCTGGTCCCGTGGGAAACCAGAGCCAAATATAATGTCACAGTTGCCGGGGTCTATAAGCCGTGTCATCTGGATGATCTGAAAGGCGGCGTTGTTGGTCGTCAGCAATAGGAGGTAACGAGACATGAATCCCGGTTGCTGTTTGTCCATGTTTTCCCGCAGCAGACGGATGCAGCTGGTTTTCGTGTCATAGCTAAGACGTACCTCCGTGGTGCAGTTACGGAAGATTTCCAGAGGTCGGATATCTCTGGAGCCTCCAAAGTTTCTCTGAATTGCCTTTACGAGGAGCTCCTCTTGAGAACTGCGCTTCCTGTCCTGTGTGTAGGACACAATCATTTTGATTAAGCTGTAGAAGTCGCGAAGCCCAAAGAACTCCGTTTCCTGCGTTTTCAGCACGTTGCAGTAGAAGTTTGCCAGAATGGAGAACAAATGCTCGATTCTTTCAAGGTGAGGTTGGTCAGCACAGATGCCTTTGGCGGTCTTCACCAGCTCTTCCTTGCTAGGTTCGCTCCGAAAGACGAGGAGGCCCCTGTTCATTTTGGCAGGGTCCAAGGCCCAGTTGGAGATGCCCACAAAGCCAACTTTCTTGTAAGCCTCCGGTTTCTCGTCGTCAATGCATCCATCTTCCAGAAGAGGATGCAGCGTCTTCAACGGCATATCGGGTGAGTCTTCTGCAAGACCGATCTCATCCAGCACGACCACGGACGCAAACTCATTCAGATTCTTGCCTTTCTGGAACTGAGCGCCTTGTCGGAAAGTGGAGATGATGCCTTCTGGTTTTGAATGGGGGCTGCACTGGAAGGAGACCAGCTGGACCTCCTTGCATCTTTTGAACAACGGGCTTCTGGACAACGTGCCTTCCATGGCATCTACAGCAATGGTTTTGGATAGAGATTTGGAGCTTCCCGGCTTTCCAACCAAAAAGAGTGGCACCCGGAGGTCCATGCAGACAACCATCATGAAGATGTTCTCCCTCAGAGCGTTGTTGCAAGCTGTTGCCTTGGGAATGTAGAGGTTATCAAGAAATACCTCTTGGCACAACTCAATCTCTTGCTGTAGCCGGGACGCAGGGACCGAGAAGCATTTTGCAATCTCCTCCAGGTACACTTGGCGGCTGTCCAGAGAGACGTAATAGCAGACCCCTACCGAAAGGACCAAAGCCCTTTGCGCGTCGTTTAAGGTTGGCTCCTCTTTCCCCTCACGCTGCCTCTTCTTATCAATCTCGTCGAAAAGCAGGTCTCTTAAGTCATAAAACCAGAGCACTATTTTCATGCAGCGGTCTATATCCCGGAGGCTGGCGACTCTGCATTCGTCCTTCCTCTCTCTCAGGAACTTCTGGGAGGCTGAAATGACGTTGGTGAAGATGTCCAGGTTTCCTGCGGGGATCTTGGTCTCCACGGTGGACTTCACGATTTCCCTGATGTACAGACTTTGCGTCTTCTCATTCAGGTCCCCAAAATCCCAGACCAGAGGCAATAAACTGGGAGGAAGGGGCTGCACCCGATACACCAACTGCCGCAAAGGAATGTAACCCAGCTTCTCCGGGGTGTCCTCACTCCGGACTCGGTATCCCAAGCCAGCTTTCTCCAGTTTCTCAATGGTGTCCTTGGTGTGTCTTTTGTAAGGATTGCAAGCCGCCACCACTTTTAAGCGGTCAGTGGAAATCCGCTGTCCGTTGATGCTGTGGTCGCACAGCACTTCTTTGATCGCAGAGATGGCCTCGGAGGTGTTGGCTTCGTCAAAGAAGAGCACTGTGTCTATGTTGTGCTCTTCTTCATTGGTACGTGCCAGCTCTATGGCCTGCCTTACCTTCTCCCGGATGGCCTTGGAGGTGGTGCCGCCGTGAACACGCACCACTATCATATTCTGAACTTTCCTACCCGCCCTTTGCAGGTTGCACATGAACTGTACCAGCTTCGTCTTCCCGCAACCCGTTTCACCCATGATGATCACAGGGATGCCACACTGGAACCGCAAGTGAATAGCCAACATCTTCATGGTGTTGTCCAGAGTCAACTGGTATGAAACATCTGGATCTTCCTGGCATTTCACACCAAAGACTCTGCAGAGGGCCTCCAACTGCTCGGTTCTGGATAAGGTTTCAAATTTCTTATTGAAAGGAACATTTTGGAGCGCCAAGGTGGTGTATAAATTCCGGCTCATAACTGCCGTCTTCAAAACAGCCTGGGAATAAGCATCAATAGCATCTAAGTTCTGGCTGATATGGAAACCCAAAAACTCCATGGAATGATCATCAGCATGGAAAACTATATAAGGGTGAGACTCTTGTTCCCACTTGCGTCTTAGCTCGTATTCTCTCAAAACACTGTCCATCTCCTTCCGCTCCTCGTTCGGCACACTTTCAGCGGACAAGTTGAGGGAAGGCATGGCGAAGTCCTTGGACATGGCGATCATGAACTTGATGACAAATGTTTTGAAGCCACAGAACTCGTTTCCCACCACTGGACTGCAGAAGACCGATTTCTCACACTTTTTTAGCTGGAAGTTCAAGAAGTGTGTGAAGTTGCAGAGCTCGGTCCAGGAGGGGTCGCTTCTCCCACAGAAGCCCATCAAGCACTCCAGGCATTCTTTCTCTGTCCCTTCGATCCGGCTAGAGACAAAAGTGAAATGGTCAAGGTTTTCCATTTGCTTGTATCTGCTGAGATATTGGTAGGACCTTTGGAAAGCTTCGCTTTTCAGTTTGCTGCGGTCAAACTGTTCCTCCCTCAGTTCCACAGGAGGGACAGAGCTGGGATCTCCCAGCAAGTCGAGCACCCGCAGTGGCGATACACACTCCACGGTAGGAAAAAGAGTCAGGAATTTTTCTTCCATTTCAATGGACATCTGAAAGCAAGAGGATAACAAATCACCATGAGGACCGTTCTCCAATCTCCCGCATTTGCCTACATCACTAAAACCCCTTTTTTTATTTCCCCCTGGTCACATATGGTGCAGCAAGGTGGGAAAAAAATGTAGAAATGCCAAGATTTCTCCCAGCCTTCATGTGGATTGAAATTCCTATAACCATTAAGGTCTGCCTTGCGCAGAGTCCCGTCTTGTGTTGGGTGATCTCGTTACCTTCTCCTACGCTTTCTCCTGTTCCACTAAATCCTTTTGGAGATGGAGGGAACTGAACTCAGTCAATATTCAAGGTATGGTGAGGAACCACAGGTGGATGACCAACCACTAGTGAATCTGGGGTGCATTTCACACCTTCAACTAACTCTAAAGCGTGACTCAAGTGCAAATTGGCTTTAAAAACATGTGTCAGGTTCAAGTTACAGCAAAATTGGGATGAAAAAGCTCCCTGTTTCCTCCAAAAGTCAGTGCAGGGCCTGATACTTTGCTTTGAGGAGAGACACGTTTGACCTGGTTGCTTCTATGTAGGTGAGACATTGCCCCACTGGAGAGGCAGACTAAATCGTGCATTGCTCCAGTGGAGACTTTGGAGTTTAGCAAGTTTACTCCTGCCTAGCCTTAACGGTTCCTCCAGCCCGAGCGCAGACCCCCAAAATACCTCTTGCTTCCTCGTACTGGTGACACCTCTCCCTTTTGCCAGGTACTCAATCAAGTAAAGATGAGAGGGTTTGCACTTCCAGACCAAGCCATCGGGACTCTGGATGTGCCGCAGGATGCACAGATCAATCAGCAGCCGGTAGAGACCCTTCGATACCTGGCAGGGGGGAAAAAAAAAAAACAAAAAAAAAAACCAAAAAAACAAACCCACGACAAATTAAAATTAATGCAGAAATCTGCCAAAACACGCTTGCTGGATTTGAGTTTCCACCTCCTTCTCTCCCTCCCTGTGTGTAGAGTCTCCTGCGTTTCACCACCTCTTCTCGTCCGCTTTAAGATCCAGACACTCACCACTGGAGACACATCGATGTGGAAGATGCTGGGCTGAATTTCGGTTGCGGATTCCTTGATGGAGAAGAGTTCCTCCACGAAGAACTGGAAATCAATGTCCGACTCCATCAGCCTAATGGTTTTATGAAGCGGTAGCGTGCCGCCCAGCTGGGCACGGACCTTTCTGATGGTATTGTCCACAAAGAGAGACTTCCCTAAGGAGCGGAAGAGACGATCGTGAATCAATCTACCCTTCTACACTTGCATGTGACCCAAACCAAGGAAATCTCTCCCCAAAAGCATGGTGTGCCACTTTGCCTCCTTGGTTTGAGGTACAACTCAGAATATAACTCCGCAAAAACTTACCCATTCCCGCTCGCTCCGAAGAGACGAACTTCACGTTCTGCTGATAGGGCTCTTCAAAGGCTTGGGTGACGGGCGCTGTCCCCCTCGGCACTGTGAGATGCATCTTCAGGTAGGTCTGGATTTCTGTCTTGGAGTAGCACGGGAAAGTCACCTTGTAGGCGTCAAAGGCCGTGATAACATACGAGTTGTGAACTTTGGCATTGCAGAAGATGATGAATCTGTAGTTGGGGATGCTGGAAGATTGCACCAGGCGGAAGAAGTGGGACTCGAGTTGTTTGGAAACTTTATAAACTAATTTATCAGCACCCAGCAAGCAGTAGATCTTTTGGTCTTGGGAACCTGGGGAAAGAGCTCTCCTGACAAGCAGCTCCACCTCCTCCTCCTCCGTGTCGGGCGTGCACACCAGGACCTCGTCGTACGACGGGAGAGGTGCCCTCTCAGTGTGTCGGTAGACAAACAACATGTTCGGTAACATTTCCTCTTCCTTACACATGACGAGAAACGGTTTCCCCGCTTCAAAGCCTACAGGCAAACTTCTCTCAATGCGCGTGCTTTCTAGAGCGGCCAAGTGCTTCAGTATCTCCCCCAGAACATCCAAACCTATGTATTCATCGGACACCAGGCCAGGGAATTTCTTACAGTAAGCATCCCAGAGCAGATTCACCTTGTCATAAAGAGATGGCAAACTCTCAAAGGAGGCGGCCAACTCATCGTGTGCCAGGGTGCTGAAGGAAATCTGGTCAACATCTCTGTTTGTGGTTTTAAATTTCCGTCTCTTCTCCAGGAAGGTTTCTTTCGTCTCCTCGTACAACCTGCTGAGTTCTTCCACCAACTCCTTGTCGTCGCCCTGCTCGAAGGCAAAATCCATGAGCATCTGCTCCGTGATGGGTGGGTTGGAGAGGCAGCTCTGCAAGGCTGCCTTTGCCACCGACTCATCGTAGCCGGATTCGGCCAAGCTTCTGATGAACTGGGGAAAACGAATGATGTAGTCATGCCAGGTAACCGATTCCTCGTCTCCTGCCGACGTATTCACAGAATCCAGAGGAGTCATCAGCGCATCATCCAGGGCTTTTCTGATATCTTCTTCTTTGATATCGTGCTTGATGATGGAAAGCATGATGAGCACCTGTGGTTCTACGATGCCTTTCTGGACTCTGGCCAGTTGGCTGCATAAATAGAAGAGCTGGCGCGCAGTGAACAGGTTGAGATGATAGTAGGTGTCCCTTTGAGTCTCCAGGTACTTCTTCCACTCCGTCAGGCAATGCTCCATCGCTTTACAGAGGTTGCCCAGCTCTTCCAGAAGGGGTCTTGTGCTCTGAACGAGGATCCCAGCAATTCCAAACTCCGTGTAGACTTTCACATGTTGCTCGGGGTTGCAGTAGATGTCAGCCTTCCAGTTGATGAAGAGGATGTTGCCAACGTTGAGAAGCTCCAGGTACAACTTTCCTACTGTTTCAACTTTTTCCAATATCTGCCAAAGACACAACGGGGAAATGGATCACGTACTGCGGCATGTTCTCAACAGCTTCCAAACACCACCCGGGTCACGCTTTCCTCCAGAGATCTGTACAGTTGTGGGCTCCCCAGTACAAGAGAGACATGGACGTACTGGGGAGGGAAGATGCTGAAGGGACTGGAGCATCTGGCTGTGTGGCTAAGTCTACCTTTGAGAAGCTGGGACTACCTTTGACCAGCCGGATCTACCTTTGCCCAGCCAGATCTACCTTTGAGAAGTTGGATCTACCTTTGAGAAGTTGGATCTACCTTTGAGAGGCCGGGTCTGTTGGGAGATGATGGGATTCACCTCACCAACTGGGACAACTGGGTCTTCACCAACAAGCTGGTTAGACCTCTACAGAGAGCTTTAGACTAGACTGAGGGAAGGAGACGGAGTTTTCAGCAACAAAGAAGAGCCAGGGGCTTGCTGGTGTATCAGGAGCCAACAGGGAAACACCTGTGAAATGTCTCAGGGGAATTAGGGCATGTTCCTCTAAAAAGGACAAGTTGGGAGCTTTTGGGTAAAAATTAGCAGCCAAGAAAGGAAATCTCATGGTTGCTGCTTACTAGAGGTTGCCCGATCAAGAGGAGCCTGCTGACGAAGCCTTCTTCCTTCAACTACGGGAAGCATCACGCTCACAGGCTCTGATCCTGCTGGGAGACTTCAGTCCCCCTGATATCTGCTGGAAAAGCATCACAGCAAGATGTAAGCAGTCCAAGAGACTCTTGGAGAGAGTCAAGGATAATTCCTTAATCGAGGTAACAGACAGCCCAGCCAGAGAAGAAGCATGACTGGACCTGTTGCTCACCAGCACGGATGAACAAATTAGGGATGTGAAGACTGGTGGCAGCCTGGGCTGCTGTGATCATGCCCGGGCGGAATTTGCAATCTTGAGGGATTATAGGCCAGGAGAAGAGCAGAGTCAGGACGCCGAATTTTAGGAGACCAAACTTTCAATTGTTTAAATAATTAGTGGATGGGACTCCCTGGGAAACTGCTCTCAGTGCTGAAGGAGCTGAGAAGAGCTGGCAGCTCTTTAAGGACATTTTTTCTTGGAGCTCTCGATTGCCACATGTAAGAAATCAGGTAAGGAAGCCAGGAGACCAGCATGGCTGCGTAAGGATCTCCTGGTCAAACTAAAGCGTAAGAAGGAAATGCACAGGCAGTGGAAGCAGGGACAGGTATCCTGGGAAGAATACAGGGACGCTGCCCGGATGTGTAGGGATTAGGATCAGGGAAGCTGAGGTGTAATTGGAGCTGAGTTTGGCAAGGGATGTGAAGAATAGTAACAAGGATGTCTATTGGTACGTTGGACAGAAAAAGAAGGTATAAGAAAATGTACCCCTCTCGTAAATAAGACAGGAAAGCTGGCGCCAACTGACATGGAGGAGATGGAGCTACTCTGTCTCAGTTTTCAGGTTTTGCCTCAGTTTTTGCCTCAGTTTTCAATGGTTATCTCCACTCCCACATCTCTCAAGTCCCTGAACCTCACAGCAGAGACTGGAAGAATGAATTCCCTCCCATCGTAGGAGATCAGGTACAAGACCACCTGAAGAACCTGAATGTACTTAAGTCCATAGGACTCTGCTCCGCTCTGGTGAGAACCCACCTGGAGCACTGTCACCAGCTCTGGGGTCCCTATGAGCCAGCAGTGTGCCCAGGTGGCCAAGAAGGCCGACAGCATCCTGGCTTGTATCCGGAATAGCGTGGCCAGCAGGACCAGGGCAGTGATCATCCCCCTGTACCGGGCACTGGTGAGGCCGCACCTCGAGTGCTGTGTCCAGTTCTGGGCCCCTCACTACGAGAAAGCCCTTGAGGTGCTGGAGCGAGTCCAGAGAAGGGCAACGAAGGTGGTGAAGGGTCTGGAGCACAAGTCTGATGGGGAGCGGCTGAGGGAGCTGGGGGGGTTTGGTCTGGAGAGGAGGCTGAGGGGAGACCTGATCGCTCTTTACAACAACCTGAAAGGAGGGGGTAGCCAGGTGGGGGTCGGCCTCTTCTCCCAAGTAACAAGCGATAGGACAAGAGGAAACGGCCTCAAGTTGTGCCAGGGGAGGTTTAGATTGGATATTAGGAAATATCTTCACCAAAAAAGGTTTATCAAGCACCGGAACAGGCTGCCCAGGGAAGTGGTGGAGTCCCCATCCCTGGAGGTGTTTAAAAGTCCTGTAGCTGTGGTACTTAGGGCCATGGTTTAGTGGTGGGCTTGGCAGTGCCAAGTTAACGGTTGGACTTGATGATCTTAAGGGTCTTTTCCAACCTAAATGATTCTATGATTCTACAGAAGTCATGGACCTGTTAGAGCGGGTCCAGACGAGGGATACAAGAATGGTCAGAAGGCTGGCACACCTCTGCTACGAAGAAAGGCTGAGAGAGTTGGGGTTGCTCAGTTGGAAAGGCTCTGGGGAGATGTTCTTGTGGCTGCTCAATACATAAAGAGGGCTTATAAATGAGATGGAGAAAGGCTTTTTACCAAGGCCTGTAGCAATAGGACAACAGACAACAGTTTTGAACTGAAAGAGGGTAGATTTAGATCGGATATCAGGAAGAAACATTGTAGGATGAGGGTGGTGAGGCAGTGGCAGAGGTTGCCCAGAGAAGCTGTGGATGCCCCATCCCTGAAAGCGTTCAAGGCCAGGTCGGATGGGGTTTTGAGTAACCTGGTCTGGTGGGAGGTGTCCCTGCCCATGGCAGGGGGGTTGGGATAAACGGTCTTCAAAGGTCCTTTCCAACCCAAAACATTCTAGGAGTCCTTCCATAGTGAACTTTGAAAGGTCTTGGATGGGCTGTGGGGCACCACAAGTGAGAAACAATACTTAGGGAAGCAAATCCCACTCCTGTAGCTTGGAAAGTGGGCATCATCTTAGAGCAACACCTCTGCTCCTGAAAGGCCAGAACTGCAGGTCATGGATGAGTCTCCCGGAAATAATTCCAGCAAAATCCCAAGTCCAATGGCCATTGTTTTTCAGGCACTACGACTTACCTCCAAGAAACGGTTTGCCTCCTCTCTGCCCTGCTCAACCTTGGTGGCAATCAACATAAGCTTGTTCTGGAGCTCCGTGAGCCGAGACAAACTGTATTTCTTGGCCTTCTGGTCTGCTGGAGACGTGCTTTCCTCACTGTCATCCAGCAATCGCAGTGAGATGCAGTCCTCAAGCGTAGCCTGGAAAGCAGAGAAGACAACCAACATCACCACATGGCCTTTTACGTGGCTTTGGGTTGAAATGCTGCACATGTGGACCCTACGTGTCTTTTATCACTTCCTTTGGAGGAAAGAAAAGCCCGTTTTCCGCTGAAAATACTCAAGGTTTAACAGAAAATTGGTGGTACCGGTTGCGTACCCAACTGGAGATCTATTGGCAACCTGGCATACTCATCGGAAGTTGATTTCAAGAAAGATCTTTTCTCCTAATAGCATTAAAAAACCCACAACTGGACAAGAAACCACCCTGGAGACCCTTTACCTGAAATTTTGGAGGTGGTGAGATGCTAAAAATCCCGTTTCTGTTGATGCTTCTAGCTTGAGAGATCGAAGAACGCTCCACAGAGCCGTGAGAGTCGTGAACCATCTGTATCCACTCTTCGTTGTCGCAGGAATCTTTCTGCCAAAGAAGAACCAAAGGGAAACCCAGTAACCAGCTGGAAGGATGCTGAGCACCACTCCCCTGCCCCAAATTCGATGACGGAGGGGTTTCTGTGATCATTTCTTGTGAGGAGGGGGTTTCCCATGGCTTCTGAGGAGACACAGCCCCAGAGTTAGACCCATCCTAACGCCCCAGAGTGTTGGCATGTGGTGAAGCTCTAGTTCTCTGCTCTGGTTTTGGTGGGGAGCAGAGCGTAAGGCTCAGTCACAGCCTGGAGCACAAAGACAAGGGATTCTGTTCCACAGAAGCTTTTCTAACAAGTTCTGAAACAGGTTCTGGAGTCTTCCAGCCTTGGAGATGCTCAAAACCCAATCGGACACGTCCGTGAGCCACCTGCCCTACTTGACCCCATTTTAAGCAGGGGATTTAGACTAGACGACCTCCAGAGGTCCCTTCCAACCACAACTATTCTGTGATCCTAAATTGTAGACTCCAGAACTCCTTTTCTCCTATTCACAACACCTTACTGGGTCTCCTCCAGTTGCCCACACGTGTGTTAAGGTCATTTGAGATGTTCCACCAGGCTTCTACTCCAAAAAGAGCACAGCCTTTGCCCAGGTCTTGCCAGGCCCACATGGATGTCTTGGGGAAACCATCTTAAATGGCATCAGACGTCTACACGTGAGCAACTCGGCCTCACAGCAAGTGTCCAAGTGACTTTTGGACACGGGACACGAAGACTCACCAGCTTTTTGGGAAGTTTACTGTCTTTTGCGATGGCTTCTCTGACGAAAGACAGAGCTGCAGAGAACTGGTCAAAGCCAGCTGTGGGACCCAGGTCTAATATGATGGGGGCAGAAGCAGCCATGGCATCACGGAAGAACCTCACTCTGTCGATATCCATGTCGTTTTCACCTGCAGAAATCGAGGCCAGCTCCACAAATATGGGGATTTCCGTCTTGTCTGGGGGGAAAAAATAAAGAAAAAAGAAAAATAAGACAGACGGCTGAGGAATTTCTCTCTTCCGAAAAAAATTCCAATTCATGTAACACTGCGTTGGATGTGGGGACAGACAAGGACTAAGTGGTCTCCCTCTGTTATATCTGATGACTTCCTTCCTTCCAGCCCACCTTTTATTATGGTCTTGATCCGAGAGGTAAAACCTCTCCTTGCACATTCCAGAAGTTCCCTCAAAAAGTCCAAGACTCCCTGGGGAATGTCACTCAAACTTTTTTTCACCTTCATTAAGTCTTGGGTCATAAAATCGAGCCGCTTTTCCTTGAATTCCTGCTCTTCCTGGACAAAAAAAGAAACAAAACCCAATATGTGTCTGTTGGGAAGAGAAGAAAAGAAGCTCAGTTCTACCTCCTCCTCCCCAAACAAGATGACATCTCGGCCTCAAACCCAAGTCTGCTCTTGAATTCATCCCTGTAGGCCCCCACGATGAATAGGAAGAGGCAGCTGGAAGTAATTCCTTCAGCCTGTCACTCAAGTTTAATTGAGGAGGAAGGAATCCCACCTGAGAAGATTTAATTATAAGCTACCGCATGGACCTGTCTACATGGATTTTCCCAAGAGCAACCAACACAGATGCCCACGCGTTTCTCACGTACGTATTTCGTCAGGTCGCTGAGAATCTGGAAATCTCCCTCCAGCTGAAGCTTCTGTCTCAGAGCATCGATCATCTTGGCAGTGTTCACCACTTTCGAGAGGGTCAGGTAGTTTTCAATCTTCTCCATCGCACCTGCAATCCAGCTAGCTTTTCCATCCCTTGGCCCTTCGCTGTCCTCCATGATTTCAAACTCATCCAGGAGCCGATCCTTCTCTCCTAGCAGCTTCTCAAACTGGCTCTGCACAGTCCCGAGGGTGATGGAGAAGTCTTTGAGGGACAGGTAGATTTTCTGAAAGTCAGCGATGGCTGGCTTATAAATTTTTTCTTGAACATCTTCTACGGAGAAAACTTGATCTTCAGGTATTGTGGGTTTGATTTCCTCTGCTCTCATCTTCCACAGCCTACGGAAACATTGGCTTTTCTCCACAACATAAAGTTTTTGCATCATGTTCCTATAATCGGTAAGGACGTGCAATGCGATTTTGCTCTTGCCATCGATGAAGAACTTCTTCACTGATATCTGATCCTTAAAACTTTCGTTGTCCATGACGCTTTTCTCCACGGTACTGCGATCCACTAAACCGGGTGGGCAACAAGAAGGAACTCAGGTCACGTGTCTCTCCATCGACAAAGACGAGCCCTGAAGTCAACGGGTTCCCTGACTGCATTTCCCTCCCACCTACTGCGAGACTCTGTATTTTAGGAGACATCTCCCTGCTCAACAACCACAGAAGGAGCTCCATTAACCCAAACGGTACCTTTTATCACGTCCTCTATGCCACGGCACAGGCGGAGAAAGGAGCATCTTTGCTGCTTCTGCTCTTCCAGTTGCTCAAACTCCTGCTTCCTGACCTCTAGCACTTCTGTTATACACTTGGAGAAAGAGGAATCTGGAAATAAAAGACGCAGACATGACGGAGAACCTCTTGAAAAGAGAAGAGCTGCAGGAACATAACCCCTGCCATCAAAAAAAAGGTGAGTGTTTCAGTTTGCAGAAAGCTTGCGGCTCCTTCCCAAAGCAGCACTGCTGCCAAAACCACCCAAAATAGCAATAAAGTTTATTCTCAGTGCAGAATTTGGAGGATTTCCCCCCAAAACCAGCAAAAATATTGATAAAGTTTATTCCTGGAGCAGGATTTGGAGGACTTGCCCCCTTTCACCTGGGTTTTAATCAAATAGAGATGGAGTTTGCAATGGGCCTGAAGGGAAGGCGTGTAACCAGGAAGCTACACCACTGCAATCCTCGAAATAAATTCCACAAACACCCCAAAACTTTAACCGCATTAAAAAAAATCCCAGCATTTTCACGCCTTCCTGCTTCTCAAATTGCTTAAAATTGCCTCTGTGACCAACTATTACATTTTCACTACTGTTTTTTGAATTGCAGATCATTATTAGGGATTTTTTTGCCTTTCAGATAATTATCCGGTAGATACATCTCCTGTTGGCCACATAACTATGAAAACACATCCAGGTTGGAAGCTCCGAACTTACCACAGGTGCACAGAATCTTCTTAAACATCTCCTTATGCTTTAAGATGTCGGCGAGGATACTGCAGGGAATGTCTCCCAAGAGAATGCGATGTCCCACCAAGCTGGTGAGTGCGTACAGCTGAGCAAGGAGGATGTTTGCGTTGTTGCTGAGCTGAACTTGAAACTTGCGCTTTGCTTCTTCTGTAAAATAAATGAGGTTTGGTGAAAGACAGCCAGCTGTCTTTGCGTGGACATGCTCTGGTTCCACCACAACCTTCCCCTCAACAACAACCCCCATGCTTGTTGAGTGCCCAACTCAACAATAAAGAAACCAAGATGTTTCTCCATTCCTGGAATGAAACTTCAATTTTCTAACACGGAAGGTTATTTTTTTCCCCCCTCTCATTTTGTGTTGCCAAGAAAATTGGAAGGTCCCTGTGAAAAAAACCTGGTCTTCCCGTCTAGCTCACTTACAAACCGACAGTTTCTCCCAAGAAAACCGTTCAGGGGACACTCACGGACGGCAGAAATGAGATCACAGACCCTGGGAGCGCTGAGCAGATTTGCAAGAATGGGGCCAACATTCTCATCAATCGTGTCGTCACTTCTCAGCCTCTTCATCTCCGAACACATTTTCTCCACAAGAACGGAAAGCACCGTCTCAGAAGCTGGTTTACTCGTCTTGAGGAACATGGGTATCATGGATTTTATGAGGGATTCCTGGAAAGATGAGAAATTTCTCCTCTTTAGGGGCTTTGTGGACTCACGGCTGTCTCAGAAAGACCTTTCCCTGCTCTCTTAACCCAGCTCAGATCAGTAAAAGAGTTGGCAAAGTGGGATGCAGCCCAAGGAGGGGTGGCAGCTCTCCTACCTTGCTTTTGTCGAGGGCTTTGATCCATTGGACGATGTGATTCGTAAAGCAGCTCTCCAACTCTGTGTCGTGGCACTTCATCTTCATGAAAGCGCAGTAGAAGCCCACGAGGTATTTCTCATCAACCTACGGCAAGGAAACGTTTAAGAGGCAGCTGCTTTCTGTGTCCCAAACGGTGACCGAGGTAAAAGAAAACGTGGCACAGACCAGGAGCGTTATCCCCCACCAGCTGGAGGATCTTCCTGACTCACCTTCTTCAGCCAATTTTCAAACATGTTGTAGATCAAGACCCGCCACTCCTTGGTCCACTCCATGCAGAGGATCTTCACCGAAAGCAGCTGCTGCCACGTCTACGGAGGAAGAGCCAAACCCATCAGCTGACTTTGAGGAACATCCAGATCTACCAAGGGTTGTGGCTCTGGGTCTCATCACTCACCTCAATGATTTTCAGGAAGGATTTCTGATCCGTGGGTGCCATGTAAAAGTATTTCTGGAGCCACGGCGTGGCCAAATCTGAAAACTCTTGAACCCTTTTCGTTGAAGTAAACAGCTGGAATTCCTTGAGAAATTAAAGAACAGAAGAGTGAGCCAGAAGCTCTGGGCTCTCCTCGGCTACAGACAGAAGGTTAAGCCCTCATGACAGAAGCCACAGACTTTGTCCTCACCTCGTTTGCTTGCAGTACATCCTCTTTGCTGACAAAAATCCCGAGTATCCGCAGCATTATCATCATGGAGCTGAACGACAACGGTTTCATCAGCTCCTTCAATAAAATCTCCAGCAAGATGTACACCAAATTCAGACACTGCAAGACCTCGTGCTCATTCGTGGGCTTCAGCTGTTGCCTTGAAGACCCCGGCGGGCACCTGTGGATGAGGGAAAGGACCGAAAAGCTTCTTGCAGTTGCTTTCACATTCACTACCTGACTACAGCCGCCGTCTGCAGCTGGGAGACACGAGCAGGTTCATAGCATACAACCCTCACGCATCTCCGTGCTCTCCAGCCATGGTGGGGTTAAAGACTTCAAAAAAAGCAACGGGCAAATCGTGGCAGCCACCCTTTTTCTGCTCAGCCAGGGCTCCATCCATCCCTCCCCAGACCCTTTATGGAGGTGTCACAGCATCTCTCCTCCCAAGAAGCCCCGACTCACAAGTCCTTGAACCAGGAGTCCATTCTGGTGGCGATGCTTTCCAAAGCCACATTCAAATCGTCTTCCTGAAAAGAGGACAGAAAGACATTGAGGACAAATATGAGATGGCTTCTGCTCCTGCAGCTGAGGAGCTTCCACACTTAAACACTAAAGCGTGAAGTTTTCTTTCTGGCAAGATTAAAGGGATTCCTTTTTGTCTGGTCCCAGGATTCTGCTCTAATCCCAGGTTTCGACAATTAAGTCCTTCAGTCCTCCTGAAAATCTCTGTAGGAATCAAGGACACGTTCTGACCCACGTTTAAAGAGCCCCAGTACTTCCCACAGAGCAGAAGGTCTGCCACCCATCAGTTGTACCTACAGGCACTTGGAACGAGGCTCGTATGATGTACTGGATCTGCCCAGTCAAGGCCTCCAAGACGAGCTGGACTGGAAGCCAAATGTCAGGCAAAGGGTGCTTGTTGAAGTTCTTCATGGCCACCATCTCCAGCACCTTCTTTGCCAGCAGAGGACATTTTACAATCAAGGTCTTGTGAGTGTCTATCATCTTCAGGACTTTCCTAGGAAAGCAGGTCAAGAAGATCAGACGGACTTTGGAGGACCAGAAGGCATGTTGGTGGCATCTGAGATGGCACCATGACTGGTAGACACAGTGGTGACCTACAGCCAGGGTGGCTGGGGGCTAGAAGGAAGAGCTGGGGTTTGACAGCGAGTAACTACATGGCAAAGCAGGAATTTTTGGAAATTAATCCGCTTTAAGGTCATTAGGACAAAACTCAGGGTTCAAGTTGACCTTGACAGGCTGGAGGAGTAAGCCCGTGCCAACCTCATCAAGTTCAACAAGGCCAAGTGCGAGGTCCTGCACCTGGGCAGGGGCAACGGCTTTAAACTGAAAGAGGGTGGATTTAGGTCGGACTTAAGGAAGAAACGTTGTACGATGAGGGTGGTGAGACACTGGAATGGGCTGCCCAGAGACACTGTGAGTGCCCCACCACTGGAAGTGTTCAAGGTCAGGCTGGACGAGGCTTTGAGGAACCTGGTCTAGTGGAAGAGCATAGAATGGGTTGGGTTGGGCGTGCATTGGAAGTGGCCTTCAAAGACCATCGAGTCCAATTTCCCTTCAAAGATCACCTAGTCCAACCCCCCTGCCATGGACAGGGACATCTTCCCCATCATTGGAAGTGTTCAGGGTTAGGTTGGATGGGGCTTTGAGCAACCTAATTTAGTCAAAGGTCATAGAATGGGTTGGGTTTGGGTTGGGTTGGAAGGGACCTTCAAGGATCATCCCTGCCGTGGACAGGGACATCTTCCCCATCATTGGCGGTGGTCAAGGTCAGGCTGGACAGGGCTTTGAGCAACTTTATCTAGTGGAAGATGACCTTTGAAGGCTCCTTCCAACCCATTCTCTCCCCAGGACTGCTCCCATCCAGCTGTCTGGATAAGATGGCACAGCACCCAGCTCCATCCTCTCCTTGAGGTCCACCAACGCTCCTTCAAAATCCCCCAGGGCAGAGGACATAGCATCCCAAGGAGAAGGGACAGCTCCTTGAGAAGCCACCAAAGCAGAAGCAATAGAAGTCCTTTGAAGAGCAGGACGGTTCATTACCCTGATCCTACCTCAGCCTTTCAGACCCACCTTTGCTTCTCTTTGTCTCTCCTCAGCTGTATGAAGGCTTGCGGAGGAGGTTCAGAAGGGAGAAAGGGGTCCTCCACCTTCCCAATTGCGTAGAGCAGTGGGACCAACCAGATCCACAAGGTGTCGTCGATGTTCTCGAGACATATTTCCTTCAGAGCCGGAAAGTATTTGCTGTAAAAAAAAAAAAAAAAAAAAAAATCCAAAAAAGTCAAACTTCCCGTAGCCAACCTCTGGGATGCCTGTGGGTGACGTGCGCCAACACGGGACGGAGTCTCTTCCCACAGCGCGCAACAGGATTCATCCCACCTGCAGGCAGCTGCCTGGAAAGAGCCTGGATCAATGTACCTCCATGGGACAACCAATTTCAGAGATGTCGAACACTCTTCGAGGTGCCAGGGGTACTCAAGATGGACTCGTCAGGCTGGAAGCCACCAACCTGGGTTTACGCACCCTCAAAGACCCCTTAGGAGAGCACATGGCACCCAAAGGGACACGTGGGGACAACCGAGCTAAGCCCCAGACCTCTAAAGGTGTCGTTGCTCCAAGCGAGCCAGTTGACAAATCTACATTACCTTTTTCCTTTCAGTTCTTTGTATTTGTCTTCGAAGAACTCCATGGCCTGAAAGCACTTTTCAGCCTTGGCGATGGACGCCGGTGGGAGCTGGACGCGATAGCGATGTGAGGTGTGCAAGGCAAACAGGATCTTAGGAAGTTCATGTTCCTCGCTCTTCAGGCGCTTGATGATGGTTTGTATGAAGGCTCCAATATTCTCATTCACCTGGATGACAAGAATAAGGAGAGGGCATTTCACCAGGCTGGACGTGATGGTTTTTCTCTGAGAACAGCCTGGTCCAGGAAGAAAAATGATGAGGTAGAAGATGCTGCTGCCCGGGTGCATGTCCCTAGGGAGAAATTATTTATTCCCGGTGCCACACATCCATCCAGGAAGGTCCAACGTAAATACAGTGGGCAGAAGGGTCTTAGCTTCACCCCTCCGATGTCCAAGCCATTCCCCAAAATGAGGGACATCACTTTGCTGGCTCCCCAGAGGTTTCAGTGGACGCTTACCGCTTCCGTAGCCGAAGGGCAGGAGAGCTCAGAGATTTCTCGTTTCTCAGGGACCCCGAGACAGCTGCTGACGCTCTCCTTGTACCTATCCAGCTTCCTCTCCATATCCTCAAGGGAATTCCAGGAGGTGGTGCGAGCGAAGAAATCGTGCTCCAGGTAATCCATCTGGATGTCGCACCTACGCATCTTTTTGGATGAGGTCTTCCAGCCGCTGCTGCTGCCGCTGCTGCTGGGGAAAGTGCATTCGATGTGTTCAAATAAGGTCCACGTTCCTGGGGAAAAAGGAAGAGTTTGGGAACAAAACGTAAACACCAAGCTTGGCTGAGCCCCGAAAGCACGAAACCATCGGTACATTTCTCCAGCCCAAGAGGTGCCACCCATTTCCCAGCCAGGATTTGGGTGCTATGGCTTGGGTGCCAGCCTTGCGTTTTTATTACAAGGGAGGAAAAAAAAAAAAAGCTTATTTGTACGAGCAGCTCGTAAACCTGCAGCCTGAAACGTCCCAAAATAAATCAGGGTTAAACGCAGGCAAGCCTAAGGCCATCACCATCGTGTCCGGTCATGACTTTGGGGTAAATAACAGCACTTACCATCCACTTTGATCTCCGTTTTGGGTATATTCACGACACGATACAAGTCAGCGTTTCTGTAGTTGAAGGTCTTTGGGTCATCGATGTTCTCTAAAGAAATGTGCTCTAATTCACACTTTCTCTCTCGGCTGTAAGTGTCAACGAGGGCGTATTTATAAAAGATGAGTCCTCCTCGCAGATGAGAAATGGGGATCCTGGCTCTGCCCACGATCACTTTGTCTCTGGAAGAGAAGGAGCTTGTTGGCTTGGTCAAGTTTTGGCTCAACGGTCAAGTTTTGGCTCATCTGACAAGACATCGTTGGCCTTCAAAATGTCAGAGAGAAATCCAAAATGGGGTTCATCAGCCAGAGGACTAATTAAATCAAACAGCCCAGCTCAGATCCTTGCATGGGGCTGAAAGATCCTGGCCCCAGCCAAAACGGCAACTCCATGAGCGATGGGGAGATTGGAAGAGCCACCACCAAGTGCTACGACTCCACCGGGATGTCTCCATTTGGGGGTTCACCTCCAACCTCTGTAGGAACCTGCAGCAAGGTCTCTCAACCCAGAGCTGAATCTCTGGGGAGATTCGGCAACAGAAACACCTCCTCAGCGTAAATGCAACCGTCATTTTTTTTACCTTTTCTCCATGTTGGCGAATTCTTCACAGAGGCCGGGCTGTTTGTAGAAGACAACGCAGATCTTGGATCTTTCCTTGGGGTTACAATATTCTGACAGCACAGCAACAAACTCCAGGGTCATCATGTCTTGTGGTGGTTGACGTCCACTGAACAGATACGGGCTGGGCTGGCAGCTGTTGGAAAAGAGGTGATGGGTCCCCACCGCGTCCTCCTGCCACCGTCCCTCTTTCCCATCTTCCCCTGCTCCACCACTCACATCCATTTCAGTTGGCTCTTGCCTGATGTTCCCACAGGTTGCGCGTTCCCTGCGTCATCACTTCCCGCCCTGTTGAAGACCCCTTGGTTACTCTGAGGTATTTCGGAAAGACCCGGATGCCTCGGAGCGAGTGCTCACTGCTTGGAAGAGGATGTGGAAGGACATCCTGGAGGTCTCTCTGCACCGACTGGGGTGAGATTTTGGGGGGAGAAGGGACCTAACAATGCCCAAGTTGCATCTCCTCCCATCATAGCCCATTCCCCTGCGGAGCTGCTGGACCTCCAGCCCTCCAGATCCAACCTCAAACCCTTCAGTGATGACATCTCTCCATATAACAAACCTGCTGGAAGGTCCTGGGCCTTCTCTGATCTCTTGATCGTCTGCAACCGAGGAGAAAGCATCGATTAGTGCCTCCAAAGAAGGTGGCAAGCCAAGAAAAAGTAGAAACTGGGGTTCACCAGGGAGAGGGGGGCTCCTCACAGCTTGGGCATGGTCTTCTTGGAAGAAGAACCCCAACCCGCTCTACGAGTGAGGTCTTCCCTGTCCTCCCAAGCTCTACCAAGTGCTCAGGCGCAGCCTCAGCGAGGCTGGCAGGGTGAAGGCAACCACCGGCATGGCCCATTGCGTCTTCCTCCCCATCCTCCTCCTCCTTGGACAGGTCCCAAGGGAAGCCCAGGAGGGTTTTGGGTGTAGCGTCACCAAGAGCTTCCACCTCCCAACCAGTTCTTGTCACCAATAGCCACTCCTGACGTGACTCAGCACCCAATTTATCATCAGAGAAGACAACATGACCAAGGAAACGCCCTCACCAGTACCTGCGCGGTTGAGCTTCCCCTGGTTTGTCATCTCCACTCTCTCAACACAACCCGGAACCTTCGGCTGGGGAAAAGAAAAATGGGAAGAGCTGAAGGAAAAAAATGAAGTTCAAAAGCCGAGAGCTCAAAGGATCGGAAAGACAAAGGGCTGGGCAAGGTCTTCTTCTGCCCCTACCACTTGTAGAGCATCAAGCTCCAAAATCCAGGCCAGCGATGCTATTGTTCCATGGAAAACTCAACCCTTGTCCTCCAAGAGCTTTGGCCATCAGCTTCAAAAGCCGCATGAGACTCACCGGACTCCTGAAATGTTTCTGCTCTTGCATTCCCGATGCTCCCTTCGGATGGACGCCGGCATTCTGGTAATTCTCCTTCTCTACCGACACGTAGCGGTGCACCGGGGTCTGCTGGAGCTGGATCTCATCTCGTGGTGGAACCACCGGAGCCTGGGAAGGAGAAGAACATTTACTGATGGTCACAAGAGCGTCTGGGGGAAGATTGGAGCCACCTCAGAGCACAACGTGGTCATGGCCAGGGGTACGACTCCTTCGAGACCAGAACCCGACCAGCGTGGGACCGCTTTGACAACACCAAGCCCCGGAGATACCTCCCACCAACCCAACAGTGACCAAATATTCCCCAATCAGGTCCCAAAACTCACGTGCGTGCACATGCCTGGACTAATTACCTCATTTTTTTACTTAAAACGGGCTCTTTACTTTCTAATTTGACCTCTCCCGTGGAGAATTGTCCTAGGTCTGACCAGGGATGGAGTTAATTTTTTCCACAGCAGGCCACAGGGCATTGGCTCGCGGTCAACACAGCACTGACAAAAGGCGGACGTTTGAGCTGTTTTGCTGAAGAGCGCGCGCGCAAGACCACCGTATCTCAATTTCCCAGGTGGAGGACCCCAACTGACCAAAGATCTGCTCCACCCAACATCTTTCTCCACAAAAAAAAAAAAGAAAAGAAGGGAAATTTGGGGAACAGCGTTATTTTTTTTTCAACTAGAGACCTGGCGGGAGGATTTCGGCCACATCATTTTTTCTTTAATTTCTCTCACTCCTCCTTCACTTCGTAAACCATTTTTTATCTTGCCCTAAAGTTCCTTTTGGTTTCACTTTCTCTTGTACAAGTATCGTTGTCGTTAAAAAAATAAGGAAATCCAAAGCTGGGGGAAAAAAAAAATTAGTAAAATCCCAAAGTCGTTAACAATGTTAACGAATCCATCTAAGACCCAGAGGGTGAATCGGAACCAGGAAGCGGGCATGTGGCACTTTGCTGATAAACAGAAGTCGCTCAGACCCCCAAATTTGACATTTTCACTAACAAAAACCTGATTTCAAGGGAATGAGGAGTTGCAAGCACCCACCTTGTGGTCGCTGAGCGATTCGGGGGCTGGATCCTGCTCACAGCGGTCGTCTCCATCTTCCACCAACGGATCCGCTGGCAACGGCTCTAAAAACAAAGCGTCGCAGGTGGGATGTGAGCGAGGGGACACTTTCGCTCCATTATTTTCCCTGCCTTGATCCCATCGGGATCCATCCCCGTACCTGGCTCTCTGTGGAGAATCTCCCAGGAGTTGTCGTCACAGTTGGACTCGTTGTCCTCTGTCACCCGCCCCGGGGTTGAACTGACGTCCTGACTTCCCTCAGGAATGGAGTTTCGGCTGTTGGATGCCATCGGGTGTGTCTCGGCGTTGTCGTCACCTTCATCCCCCGCCGAGGGTCCGCTCTCACCCTCCTCGCTAGGCTGGGGCTGGGGGTGAAGCTCATCTCCTCCGCTATTGCTTTCGGAGCCCTCCATCGCGGCGGTTCGGACTTGGGGGGGGACGGCGGGGAGACATTTTTAGCACCAAAAACCCGCAGTCTATTGGCAAATGGGGCTGGCGTCTCAATTTAGGCAGCTTCAGGGCTCAGAAATACCGATTTAGGGAGCTTTTGAGGTCAGAAACAGTGATTTAGGGAGCTTTGGGGCTCAGAAACCCCCATTTAGGGAGATTTTGGGCCTCTGAAACACGAATTTAGGGAGCCTTGGGGCTCCAAAACACCAATTTAGGGAGCCTTGGACCTAAGAAACACCGATTTCAGGAGATTTTGGGCTTAGAAAAAACGGTGCAGTGGACTTCGGAGCCTCTGAAACACCCATTTAGGGAGATTGCGGGCTCAGAAACCCCCATTTAAGGAGCTTTTGGACTCAAAACTCCCCATTTAAGGAGCTTTTTGGCTCAGAAACAATTATTTGGGGAGCTTTGGGGCTCAAAAACAAAGATTTAGGGAGCTTTGGGGCTCTGAAACATCCATTTCAGGAACTTTGGGGCGCAGAAACTCCAATTTAGAGAGCTCTTGGCTGAGAAACACCCATTTAGGGACTCCAAATCACCTATCGACACGGGGTTTGGGCTCAAAACCAGCAATTTACGGATCTTTTGGGCTGAGAAACACCCACTTAGGGAGCTTTGGGGCTCAGAAACTCCCATTTAGGGAGCTTTGGGCGTAAGAAACACCAGTTTAGGGTGCTTTTGAGCACAGAAACTCCCATTTAGGGAGTTTTGGGGCTCAATAAAACACATTTACACAGCTTTGAGGCTCAAAACACCCATTAAGGGAGCTTTTAGGCTCAGAAACACCAGTTTAGCGAGCTTTGGGGCTCCCAAACATTCATTTAGTGAGCATTTGGGGTCAAACCCAGCTATTTAGGGAGTTTTGGGGCTCAGAAACAGCAATTTAGGGAACTTTGGGGTTCAAAACCAGCTACTTAAGGTGCTTTGGGGCTCAGAAACACTAATTTGGGGAGCTTTTCGCCTCTGAAACGGTGATTTAGAGATTTTGGGCTCAGAAACACCCATTTAGGGTCCTTTTGGGCACAGAACTCCCCATTTAGGGAGCTTTGGGGCTGACAAACACTGATTTTGGGACCTTTTGGGCTCAAAACCAGCAATTTAGGTATCTTTTGGGCTTAGAAACAGCAATTTAGGGAGTTTCGGGGCTCAGAAACACTGATAGTGGTAGCTTTGGGGCTCAGAAACAGCGATTTAGGGAGATTTGGGGCTCAGAAATAAAACATTTAATGAGCTTTCGGGCTCTAAACGAGTGATTTAGGGAGCTTTGGGGCTCAAAACCATCCATTTAGGCAGTTTTGGGGCTGAGAAATTCCAATTTAGAGAGCTCTTGGCTGAGAAACACCCGGTTAAGGAGAGTTTGGGCCTCCAGAACATCGATTCAGGGAGCTTTGGGGCTCAAAACCATCCATTTAGGCAGTTTTGGGGCTGAGAAATTCCAATTTAGAGAGCTCTTGGCTGAGAAACACCCGGTTAAGGAGAGTTTGGGCCTCCAGAACATCGATTCAGGGAGCTTTTGGGCTCAAAACCAGCGGCTTAAGGAGTTCTGGGACTCAATAACAACAATTTAGGGAGCTTTTGATCTCCAAAACACCCACCTAGGGAACTTCTGGCCTCAAAACCACCCACTGAGGGAGCTTTGGACCTAGGAAATACCCATTTAGTGAGCTTTTGGGCTCCGAAATATCAGTTTAGGGCACTTTGGGGCTCCGAAAACCACCTTTAGGAAGTTTTGGGGGTCCCATACACACATTTCGGGAGCTTTTGGGCTCAGAAAGATCCATTTAGGGAGCAGAAGTAGCAAGGGGGTCATAAAATGGTGCCGCTTACCTGGGAAAAGGCTGGGGCCAAGCGGTTGACGTGATGAGGATGTGACCA